TTGGGCTGCCGTCGGAGTCTCAGCGTCTTAGGCCACCGGAAGGTGGGTGACGTGTGGATCTTCTTTTTTTTTTTTTCTTTTGGCTGTGGACGCCCTTCAGGACTGCCTTCTTGGCCTTTAATGCCTTTGCTTTGGCTTCAGTTTTAGGAGGGGCAGGGGCTTCCTTCTTCACTTTTGGTGCCATCTTCGAAAAAGCTTGAAGTACATTTTTAAAAAAGTAACTTTTAAAATCATATGTTGAAATACTCAATGATTTATTTGTGATGTAAAAGAAGAAATATTTCAATTCAACTTTTGAAAATTAGGAAACAATTTCACAAATGGAAAAAAATGTCTATGTTACAATTCTAGGGACTCTTATTCCTATATACTGGAAGTATTCTATACCATAATCACTCAATTAAAAATTATATAGCTAGAGATTAATAGACTGGAAGACTTTGATTTTACAAGTTATTTGAGAATATTTTGAGGAACTATTTTTCACTAACTGTTTCAATTAAAAAGTTTGGTGTAATTAGATCTTTGGGACATTATCCCTGAAGAAGGTGAATATTCAAACCTTTGTATTTTGACTGCCAAACTTTAAATTGTTCAGGGACAACATGTATTCCCGCAAAGCAACTAATGATTTAAATTTACATAGCATTTAACTTGCTGTTCTTTGGCATTTTTTAGTTATGGAGGTAATGGTTAATAATTTGGGAAGAAGTAACTTGCACTGTTATTTTTATCACACATTTGGCATTTTTAGTATGGGTACATTAGTTCTTTTTTCTTGCACTTTGGTAACTTATTAAATACATAATAAACACTTTTCTTTGAAGCTGGTGACAGGAAATTTAGTTACCTTGACTTAACTTATCTTGGCTACTATTTTAGAACAATAAGAAATAAGAAATAAGCTGGGAAAACAAGGCTGATTTTTTTTTTCCATTTTGAAAAAAGTATTTTCTTTGCAAGTTTTAACAGTAGCACAAAAATAGGTTTCTGCAAAACAATATTTAACGAATAATTTTTAAAAAATAAAAGTTGTTGAGTGTGAAACTAGCAGAGAAGTGAAGAATTAATTTGTTAATAATAAACACGGAGAATCCATGACCCTAATGGCAAGAAAGTGGAGCTCTTGGGAAGAAACGCAAAGATGCTGCATGCTGAGTTGCCCCAAAGGGGAATGGTCCTGACAAATATCCCTGAGAACAAGAAAGGGTATTAATTGTTGTAGATAATGTTTCCATCGACAATGTAATCTGCTCAGGGACTGATGACTAGAATGAAAACGAGATTTGAGGAAGTTGGTAACAAGCTAGATCTGCGATATAGCAGAGGGACATGGCAAAAGGAATAAAGCAAGGTCATGAAAACAATTTGAAAAACATTGTGCCGCTTTAACAGGGCCTAATAGAAAACATGTGTCAGCTTTTTAGACATGGAGAACTGGAAGGAATATGTTGACAGTGACTGAAATTGAGAATCTGAGCAAAGGAGGCAGTAATAAGAGAAGGTGGAAATAATGCAACATAAACCACGTAACTAAGTTATTTGGCTATGTGAGCAATGGCAAAAATCAGAGGATCATTGGCAGTGTAGCATAATGGTGAAGGGCACTTCAGAGCACTTGGATATTTGAATATAGAAAGGAGTCATCAGTGGGAGGGAAAATTTGGAGACAACAAACAATAACACAAATGTGGAAGGAAGGTAAGTTGGCTGTAATAATTTTTTGCTAAGGATATGCAATGTAAAATGATGCTGCAAAATACCTTAAGTGCATTGCTTATCATTGTAAAGTCATCTACAGTTTTATTTACAAAGCGACCGACTGTAAGGTAATTTGCTAAGTGAGCTTAATTAATTTGCATACTCAGGATTGCTCTGTGCGGTTGTTCGAGTTTGACTCATAGCAGCCCTGTGAACAACGGATCTGAACCCTGCCCTACCCGGTGCCATCCTCACCATCTCTGCCCTGCTTGAGCCCACTGTGTCAGTCCATCTAGTTGAGGGTCTCCCTTTCTTGCATTGACCCTCCACCTTCCTGAGCATGTTCTCTTTTTTTCTTGACAACACGCCCAAAGTATGTGAGACCAAGTTTCACCATCCTTGTCTCTAAGGTGCACCTGGGTTGCACTTTCTCAAAGACGTATTTATTCTTTCTCCAGGCCATGGCATATTCAGTGGTACTCTTATCCAACACCATGATTCAAGGGCATTGATTCATCTTGTCACCCTTATTTAGATATCGTTGCTTAGATGTAACTTTATAGAAGTTATGTATGCATGCTCACAAAGGTGTGGGCCTCAGGTGTGAATGAACCTATTCAAGAATGTAGCCATGTTAAAATGAGGTGAAGTGAGCTATTTAGGTGGCTTACGAGCTAAATCATATGTACAATTGTCAATATTTCACTTTCATCATTATCATTTTGGACACAAGTGTACTGACCTCTAAGACGTTAGCTGGGAAAAAAGAATGGAGTTTATTTAGATGCAGTACTTGATAGATGTTGGTTTAAAGTCCCTGATTTGTTTCCTTCATCTTTTCTCCTTCTCTTTCCGTGAAGGCTGCTATTGGTTATTGCAGTGCATGTGGACTTTCTTTTTCTCATTTGCTTGGCTTAAATTCTTATTTGAGATTAGTAATTTATTCTCTGTTCATTAACATTTAAAAAAAATCATTAACTTTAAAATCTTATTGAAAACTTATTGTATACCAAGAATAGGATTTTGGACCAACAGCCAAACACTAAATATGTTTTATTCTTTTTTTCCCTGACTCATAGTTTTCTAAATTTTATTGTGATAAAAAGAAACTTTTAATGTAGATCAAACCGGCTTTCCCCTCTTGGAATAGTAAGTGATTTGTTGGATGAAATGATATGTATAATAGTGAAAATAGGTTTGAAATGGTTAGTACTAGTGTTTTCCCAACTAAGTGACAATTTCACAAGGTTTCTCTCTTTATGTCTTCAGGTAAAATAAAGAATAAGAGAATAACTACAGTTGCAAGAAAGGAAATGAAAGGAGACAACGTCACCATTTGGAACTTTTTTATCTTGGAGGGATTTTCCAGATATCCGAAGCTAGAAATTGTTCTCTTCGTTTTCAGTCTAGTCATGTATCTAATAACCCTCATGGGCAATAGCACTCTTATTTTAATCACTATCACTGACTCGCGCCTTCGCACCCCCATGTACTTGTTCCTTGGAAATCTCTCTTTCATGGATATCTGTTACACATCTGCTTCTATTCCCACTTTGCTGGTAAACTTGTTGTCATCCCAGAAAACCATTCTCTCCTCTGGCTGCGCTGCACAGATGTATCTCTCCCTTGCAATGGGTTCCACAGAGTGCGTGCTCCTGGCTGTCATGGCCTATGATCGCTACGTGGCCATCTGCAATCCTCTGAGATACCCCGTGATCATGAGCAGGCAGGTCTGTGTGCAGATGGCCTCTGTCTCCTGGGTGACAGGCTGCCTGACGGCTCTGCTGGAGACTAGTTTTGCCCTGCAAGTGCCCCTCTGTGGGAATCTCATCGATCACTTCACATGTGAAATTCTAGCTGTGCTAAAATTAGCATGTGCTGGTTCACTGCTCATGGACATGATCATGCTGGTGGTCAGTGTGCTCCTCCTGCCCATCCCGATGCTCTTGATTTGCATCTCTTATGGCTTCATCCTTTCCACTATTCTGAGAATCAGTTCAGCAGAGGGAAGAAGCAAAGCTTTTTCTACCTGTGGTGCCCACTTGACTGTGGTGATTTTGTATTATGGGGCTGCCCTCTCCATGTACCTAAAGCCTTCTTCATCAGACTCACAAGAAATAGACAAGATCATCTCATTGCTTTATGGAGTGCTGACCCCTATGCTGAATCCCATCATTTATAGTTTAAGAAACAAAGAAGTCAAAGATGCTGTGAAAAAATTGTTGAGTAAAATGCCTTTTAGTCAAACTCGTGAAAACCTCTGAGTTGGTGAATTTCTCCAGAAATTCTTGCTAGAATTCATTGGAGGAATTCTAGACAACTGATTGACTCTCAGAACTCTCACTTGAAACTTAGTGCTATAATCTCACAGATTGAGACAGTTGTACCCAAAGGGATATTTTTTATGGATAACAATAGATTTTAATTTACATCTATAAATATTTTCCATTGTTGTGTTTCACATGGTATGAGACATACTGGACCATATAATCATCACATGTTTATCTAAAAGAAAAAGTGGATAAATTTAGAGTCTGTGAATGTTAGTGCCAGAAGAAACTTGGGCATCTTCTCTGCTTTAAATCATTTCTAAGTTGAGATGAAAACATAAAGAAATAAAAAGTAGAATTGCTCTTTATTATGTCAATGAGAAAGTAGAAAAGGAGAAAAAGTGTTTGCTCAACCTCACACCATTGCAGACAGACTTGGGACTACAACCCCATCCTTGCGGCTGCCAAACTTCCTTCCTGCTTGAAAACTCCAGATTTAGACCACCTGCCTTCCTGAGACTTTTCCCAGAGATGCCTACTTGCTTTGCTTACTTCCAATCCTGCTTTTCCAAGCGCAGAGATACTTACATAAAATATCACTATTTCTATACCAGTGTGTCATGTATATATCAACTAAGTCTTCTACATACATGTCTGTGGGAGGGCAAGGGTGTACATTAATTTTTATTTATTAAAGAAGTTCAGTAAGTTGTACATTTTTCAGTCTTAAATCAATTACCTTCTTGTACCACTCATGAAATATGGGAAGAAAAAGAAACAGGGACAACCAGGTATTTTGCTTCATAACTATTCACTAATTACAGATGGCATATGTACAACAGAGGGTTTTTAATACTTGATTTGTAGAAAATACTATTTTTCAAAGTGTAGGTTCTGGTCCTTTACGTCTAGAGATTCTGTCTGTCACTCTGGGGTTGTTGTTGTTGAGTGTCTTCTAGTTGAGCACGACTCATAGTGACTCTATGAACAAAAGGCTTGAAACCCTTCTACAACTATCGACATTTATCAAAGTTCATAGTTTCCAGAGGAAAGTTATTTAGGAAGTGGATGCCACTCCTGTGGCTCTGGGGTGGAGTCCAGTAATTCCTGACAGAAACCTCAAGAAATTTCTATGTAGGTGATGAGATTACCTACTCTGGGAAAAAATTTTGAGTGAAAAGTTATCACCTCAAAAGAGAAGTCTGTGCTTTCTCTCATTCTGGGATCAGAACTGACTCACAGCTGCTCCGTCTTGGGTTTCTGATGCTGTAAACTGAAGGAGAGGAGAATGCCTATCCTCCTGTGTAGCTGCAGGTGAATTCATTCCACGAGAGAGGTTTGATCTTTGAATTGGCAATGCAACACCCTACAGACTAGGCCACCAGAGCACCCTAGTGTTAGTTTTTGTTTCTCCTTTCTTAGTTTTCTCCTTCATTATTTCTGCTATCACCTGTCTACCTGCACTCCCAGAGGAGGGAAAAGCTTTTGAGTGGAGGAAGGTAACTACACATACCAAATTTCAAAATATGAGAAAATTTAAAGAAGTTTTAGAACTCCATGCTGAGTTCTGGATAATTTAATTCTTAGACCATTCCCTTGGTTCAAGATTCTATTACATATTGTTGGATATAAAATCCACATGTGGCAAAAACGTAAAATAATAACAGTAAAATTTTGTTCATGGACCAAGGATTAAGTGCTCAGTGAGCAGCTGTTGGATAAAAATATGTATATAAAGAATATTTTATATGGCTACTCAATTATTTGAACATATCTCTGTTGTATGTGTATCTTTGCTGGTAGTTGTGAAGTGATAATGACATTGTGATGATATCTACCCAGAATTAAAGAGTTAAAATTGTTACCATTAATTCCTCGTATGGAATCTTTAAGATGAACGCATTATATTAGCCATATTTACTTTCTCAATAGAAAGGATGCATTGTTAAATCAAGGATCTCTACTAGATGTAGTTGTGTCAGGTCTTTGGCATTAAATCTGATCCACTTTTAATGATCAAGATGGTGAAATGTACCTAACACATAGAGTGACTCCTAATGAATTTGATCTGATGAATACTTGAGACTATTCTGAATGGAATACATTTTTCATTTGTTTATAGAAGGAATTTATCATTAGAATAGGTGATGCCCCAAAATAAATAGGTGCTTCACATTGTCCCTTAACAATCTTGATTCCTCCTTTAGTAAATAACAATCCCAATATTGTGGAGCTCTGGTAGCTTACTGGCAAGAAGCTGCACTGCATTCCCAAAGGCACACAGTTCAAGTCCACCAGTTGCTCTGTGGGAGAATGATGGACAATCTCTTCCTTTGCCACTTAACCGACTCTGAAAACCTGCTGGAGGGTCAGTTATGGTTCAGTTCCGACTTGATGGCACACAGCAATTGCATGGCTCTTTACACTGTCTGAGATGCAAATAATTATAGCTTTTCTACCATTTAGAGTAGTCTATAATTTGTCACCATGAATACATAAGAATGAAGATTCATAAATGGAAGCTTATGGACTGACTTAGGAGGGATACAGTATCCCTCTCCCAAACCTGCCTCTTTGGTGAGAAGGCATTACTGGAAGAAATAATTATTGAATTGATGAAAAATTGTGTGAGGAGGGGTAGAAAATGTTTTTGATAATAAGACAGTTTGGGCAAAGGCCTTTTGCCAGAGGGTCAGTGTGATAGGGGATGGAGCATGGTAGAAAGTGTGTGCATGTTAAGAGATTGTGGAGAATAATCCAGGGCAATTGTGTAAGAACTTCAGGACCTAACTTCAAATTTCATTACACACGTGTAGCTCTGATTCTAAACAATACAACAAAGCCTTTGAAAATTAAACTACAAAGCAGAGCACAAATTTATCACCAGATGACATACAGAAAGGACAAATCTGAATAACAGTAAATTCTTTGAAAATGGAATTAACAGAAGATTGTTAGTAAGTTGTGTCTAACAGCTAAAGTACCACTTAAAGTACCACTGTTTACACATCTGTAAACAGACACAGAGAAAACAATCAGTTTCTGTAGTACTTAGACCCCGAGTCTTATAATGTGATACTTAAAATTTCTCAGGTATCATTAAAAAACACTTAACATATGAAGTTACACTCAAGCTCACTGTTACAAGCACTCCGTCAATTTATTTCCTGAAAGTGGTCCTCTCTCTTCCAAAAAATACTATTGCTGAAATAAAAACCAAACAAACACACACTTAGGACGGCACAAGGGCAGAATGTAGGTTGCAGAAGAGTCAGGAAACGTGATGATAGATCATTAGAAATGATCCAATCTAAGTAACACAGAAGAAAAGACTAGAGGGAAAATACACAAATCTGGAAAACTATGTTCCCTGTGCAAGTGGTTAAAAAGTGATTTGTTAGCTCACAGCTCAAACAATTGCCCATTTCCTCAAGATAATGCTACTTTAGGGTGTGGCAGAGGTGCATGCTTCATAATTTGTCATGCTGTCAGTCCAGTATGCCTCACAGCCACCCTATGAACAGATCTGACCTCTGTCCTACCCCGTGCCATCCTCATCTTCTGGGACACATGTGAGCCCATTGCTGCAAGCAATCACTGTGTCAAATCTATTTAACTGAAGCTCTTCTTCTCTTTCGGTGACTCTCCACTTTTCCAAGTATAATGTCCATTTCCAAGGAATAGCTTTTCTTAGCACCGTGTCCAAAGTATATGAGACGACTTCACCATCCTTGCCTCCAAAGAGCACCCTGACTTCACTTTCTCCAGGAAATATCTCTTTGTTCCTTTTTGGCAGTCGATGGGGTATTCAGTACTCTTCTCCAATACAACTCAAAGACACCAATTCTTCATGCTGTTGTTTGTCACTGACCTGGAACTGACCCATAGCTGACCTTCCAGAGGGTTTTCAGCGTCAGTAAGTTACACAGAAGATTGTTCTTCCATGTCCCGTGGAGCAGCCGGTGGGTTAGAATTGTGTGTCTTTCAGATGACAGTGCAGCTTTTTATATGAGGCCACCGGCATTTCCTCACAATTCTTCATTGTAGATATTAAAAAGACATGCTCAATAGGCAACATTTAAAGAAAATTCATTTACTCCTTCATTAAAAATATTCTCAAGTGAAGTGAAAGTGCCATTTAGCCCCCATAAACCCATTATTATAATAAAAAAATGTTACTAGTGTTAGATACCCCAAAAGCAAGGTTTGTTATCATGGTGGTGTACTGTGGAGTGGGAACCACCGATAGTAGGTTTTCAGAGCAGTTAATTGCGTGGGAGGAAGGAGATTGCCTATGCTTCTCCCGGAGAGCAACCAATGGATTAAAAATGTGTGCCTTTGGGATTGCAGCTCAGCTTCTTGTCACTGGACCACCAAAATTCCCTAATAAGCAAAGTGAGCATAGACATGTACTTACTAATCTGTAGTGAGCAAGTGCACATCCTCCCCCCCCAATTGTATTTACTTACTAATTGGTAGTGAACAAGTACACATTTCCACCCTCCCCACAATTGTGCTTACTTGCTAATTGGTAGTGAACAAGTTCACCTTTCCTCCCCACCCCCAGCTACGTCCTTTTCATAGAATAAAAATCTCCTTTCTTCTTCTTTTTTTAATGGGATCTTCTTTTTTTAATTCATTTTAATGAACATTTACAGATATTTTGGATTTCCGCTCATTCATTGTTGCAGTTTTCTCCTTGCCCTATCCCTCCTCCCCAGTTAGCTCTCAGAATCTCCTTTCAAATGTACAGTCCCTTGATAAATATCTAATAAACAAGGTAAGTATGTCTTTACTGACATTTATTTTCTTATCTGTTTTGAGTTGTTCGTCTGTATGAAAATGTTCACTGGAGATTAGTAAATAAATGCAAGAAAACCCTTAAACCTATGCTAGGGAGTTCCAGTGGCATAGTCCATATGAATTATGCCATTGATACAAATATGGTGCTTCTCAGGAGTCACCACCAGTGACTTCATGGGAGAAAGATGTGT